TGGTAAGCACTATAACATGAATCTTCCTATACTATACCAAAGCATTCAACGTACCAAAACCAAAATGTTTTTAGAGAATACTACGTACATTTTGCGTGACATTTCTTTACCAAGGCAAAGGAGCAACCCAAACCGCAGAGGGATCCGAAGTCTTCAACCATTCGGGTTGCATCCAACAAAGCGATTTGATACCCGAATAATCCATATCATAAACACCCATATCATTTCCGGGTCGAATAAACCCGAAATCCTTCACATTCCTTTGTCTATCATCCGTGAAATATATCTTGTTTCCTTCAATCCCACTAACCTCCAATAAAGACAAACAAATAGAAGTATTCATACCCAAGAACAATGCATACTCCCCAAGTCCATAGACCTCGACCCATTTACCAATACCCGAATCCATTTTACACACCCGAAACTCCCGGGTTGAAATCGGAGGATCCACATTAGGGGCATTATTGTAAATATCCTCATCATCACTGACATTTTCGTAATAAAATGCTTCATTAAATTGAAATTTCCTAAGTACCCTACAAAGCTCCCCTTTAATTTCAACCAAGTAATACTTCTGCCTTACAAATTTGGACACATCGGACGGCTGAGATGAAATCTCCTTAATCAAGCAACGGTCAAGATTGCAAGTGAATATCTTACCATAATCATTAACAACGTAAAATCTCCCCTTAAAGAACAAACCATCAGAAAACCCATTCATCTTCACAACACAAAAAATGCAACTTAGTCCAAGAAACATCACCAACCCTACAAAACGCAGCACCTCGTACTTCATAAAGTATCAAAACGACACACTTCGAGTCTAAGGAAGGAGACGAAGAAAGAAGCGCCTTTTCAACATTTTCCGTAATTCTTGGAAGCCAACGACGCCGTTTGATGAAAGGATTAAGAAGATAAATAGAATTAGACGAGCTATGATTGTCTATAGTGAGGACTAGCCAGCCATCATACGACCCGCGACACCGGTGAGAACAGGGGACGTTGATGTTGAGGTAATTTTGATCAGACGGTGGAAAATTGATGAATTTCCGGTGATGGGTTTTACGTGGAACGGTGATAATGAGGCCAGGGATTGGGTGTGATAAGGTGTAGCGGTTGTACTTTGCGATTGATCTCCAAGACGAACATACACCGCTGATTCGAATGTGATCAGATGGTTTTTTGATTCGTTTTATGATCAAAGATAGGACATCTTTGTTTATTTCCGACCAATCGTGAGTACGAGACTTAACCATTTTTATGATTGGAGAAATGGAAGAAAGAAGGAGAAAAAAAAAAAACAGGGGAGTTTGAAACAGGGGAAAACAGAGGTATTTAAGGGGTAGGGTTTAAAGTGTTACTTGGGGATCAAGGATTTTAAATGGGGATTAAGGTTAAATTAAGGTTTTACTTGAGGATTACGGTTTTGTTGGTGGGGAATAACGGAAATTCGGTTATGTTTGCCGCGTCGGTTATTTTTAGGGCTTTTGGGCTTTAAATTATGGGTTTTCAAAGATTCAAACTAGTCAAAATTTATTTAAGATGGTAACCGTTAACCAAGAGTGACCGAAGCGCCTTATTTTTGTCGAAGTGAAATTATTTTTACCAAACTTAAATTATTTTTACTAAATTGAAATTTATTTTACTCATCTGAAATTATTTTTGCTGAACTGAATTTATTTTTAATTTTCAGTTATATTTTTCGTTTAAGTTATTGATTTTTACTGAATTGAAATTTTTTTACTGAACTAAAATTAATTACTGAATATTTTTTTTTTGTAGGAAGCGAACAAGGCCTGAGTATAACCTTTTTTTTTTCCAAGCCTTTTTTTATGTGGGTTTATATTCAACAAATGTATAAGAATTAAGAAAGGATGTAACGCAGAGTGAGAGTAAAGGATAGTTTAACGGATTGGAGCTTCCCTTATTGTCCCAAGAAATCTTGAGATCGAATTTCATCACATGTCCTTATGACTCTAAAAAAAAGTAGTAGAGTTTAGAGCATGCTTGGAATGAGGATAATATATTAAGAGGGTAATAAAAGTCAAAATTGAAAAACATAAGTCAGTAAATGTATTGTTAATAGGAGGTATGGTCTTTACAAACGAAATAAGGTAGTTGTTCTGTGATGAGGAAAAGAAAGAGATGGAGAAATTATTACCCTCATAATGAGGGTAATCGTTACACACCCTCAAAATGAGCCTTTTTCTTCACCTCATACACCATCACTACATAATTTGTCTTACAAGCACACCAGCCATTACTATCTCATCATTCTCTATTTACTTTCATTTTGCTTAGTTTGACTTTTATTACCTTAATAATACATTTCCCTCAATCCAAGCATGCCCTTAATGTGAATTAGAGATCACGAAGAAGTCCAACTTGACCTATTCTTATCCAATAGAGCCCTAAAATCTTAGCTTAATAAAAATCACAAAAGAACACCTCACAGCTCCCGCCTCTAATGCCAACCCACTACCATAGAGCCCTAAAATCTTCAAATCATAGTTTGATAGCTGTTTTTATTGATTTAGTTTTAGGTATGAAACTTTGATTAGACAAAATGACAAATCAACAAAATCAAGTTAATTAATTTTGCTAATTTAAATAGTTGTAGGAGAAAACATTTAATTGAGGAGGTTAACAACCAAAATGAACTGTTCTCTCTCCAATGCTCTCTCTAGTTCATCTTGCTGTGGTTGTGGTGTGTACGTGTTGCTTCTTATGCTATTACACTTGCAATACGTAATAAAATAAAAGATATTAAAGCAATGATAAAAAAAAAAAAAAAAAAAAGAGATCAATAAAAGTAATAAGGCAAGAAAAATCCATATTCGTTATCATTCCTAAATTAGTTCGTTAATCGATCAATGAAGAATCATGTCCTACATGGATCCAAATCGCTTGATAAACTGAATCTTATCATGTCATATAAGAAAACAAATCAGTTGATAAGCTAAGGGTCTGTTCTCATACGTTTATTTTCAGTTCAATTCAGTTCAGTTCAGCTTCTAATTTCCTTCTTTTATAAAATATTCAATTCAGCTGAGTTCAGCCTATGAGAACAAGCCCTAAATCTTAAAAAAGGGCTCTAGATTGAACGTTGTTTTTAGGAATAATATTGGCTTAAGTCTAGATACTTGAGTCGATTTGATTTTGCCAATGTCATTGGAGTTTGTCAAATGCCTTTTTTATCTTATTTTCAAAAGAGTCGCAAAGACAGTAAAAATTATAAATAAGGGAAGAAAATTTAAACCTACAACCTAATGCAAACACGCCCTTAATATTAATCAACCGGTCAAGACCTAATTAGCCATTCTAAGACTAAAATCTTAAAAAGATGACAATCAACTAAGCCAAAGCTTCCTAATCAGTGGAGATGCCAATTAGCCCAATCAACAGAGGATGTCCCAGTTTCTCATGGTGAGAAACATATTTTGTTTGTCATATGACATTTTCGTAAATAAATCAACAACTTTATTCAACTATGAAGCTCACAATAATGAAAAAGTTGTTGATTTATTCACGAAAATGTTCCTATAAAAAACAAATTTCTTTTCTCACCATGAGAAACTGGAATTTATTTCCCCAATTAACACAGTCAAAACAATAAAACTCCTTCATAATTACTTTTATGTTATTATCCAAGTATAAATGCATTTAAACCAACCATCTTCCACTGTTATAACATTCGATACAAATGCTCTTACTTTGTGAATTATTCAACAATTAAATGTTCTTATTACGAGTTTTATGTAACTCAATCTATTGCCACCATTCTCAGTCCGGCGTCCCAATTTGATTGGTGAGTTTGTCTTTCTCTCTACTTTTTTTCGATATCATGTTTATCCTTTGCCAATATTTTACTCCGTATTTTTATGTCATTGTCTCGTTGATATCCAACGTACTTTGCTTTATTATCATTTTTCATGCTTATTTGAGCATCAAACTGCTCAAAACAAAAGATTATCCAATGTAGAATATGTCCAAATAATATATATTTCAAATAATAATTATGTGTTTGTCTTAAAAAAAAAAAAATACTGGAGTAATAGAGAATCAAACTTGGTTTCATATACTTCGTGTCATTCTTTAATTCGTTTAATTACGGAGTAGAGGCAACTTATTAGACAAGTTGATTGCTGGATCGTGGTACCAATTATAAATTTATAATTATTTATTTATTCATATAGAATAAAGATTTCACAATGATGCCATACACATAAAGGCGGCCTACTACAACACATCTTATATATTCATATTGCTTTTGACTTTTGGATTGAATTACTTAAAATTATTTAATTTTAAGTTATTACTTGTTCAATTGTTGCATTTTGCATAGATTATGTGGGCCTATGATACCAATAATACAAAGTATAATTAGATTGTTTGACACATAATACATTAATTCTAAAATGTTCTTGTAATTTTTTTTTTTGTTAACAAAATTTCTGTATTATGAGACATTACCTCCATTTTTACAGATGAATTTTGTTTTATGGGTGTCATTCCTTGTCAATGCATATCTTTAATATAATTATTAATGAACAAAAAAATATATAATACTTACTTTGTAAGTATTAATTAATACAAATCAACTAGACCGTGCATGATTATACTTTATGTTCAATTTTAGTTACAACACTTAAAGTTTTTGCATTGTCAATTTTAAAAGTTCAAAGTGCAGCAACTAAAAGTAAACAAAGGAAGTATATGTTTTAGAATCAGAAATGAATGGAAGAAATATGCTAATAATTGAAAAACTTGGTCACAATTTATAATATAAAAGCATTTAAATCAAATTATTAATAAATGTCTTGGATTTCTTGCATTAGTTATGTAATAAATAAAATAATTGTACATTTTATATGTTGAAGAATAAAACCTCTCAAGTATCACCACATGTAAGTGTCCCACATTGGTTGGAGAAGAGAGAACTAAACACTTTAGGGCTACTCCTCCTATTGCCATATGATTTTGGGATGAAACCTCCTGGACTTGTGAAGTGGACTCTCTTTTCTCGGTTTGCGGGTGCGGCCCAGACTCGCGTTTAATATTATATCATACTTCGACATAATTATGCAATATTGTTCAATTCATGCCGATGTAGCAACACAGTACATATAGAGTAATTGTATCATTGTATGTATAGCATAAGTTGACTTTCTAACAAACTTTTGACTTTTTCTCGATACATCCACTTTTTTCCCGGGCAACAAATATTTTTAAAAATCTCAATTTGTCATAATCTTTAAAACCAACCAACTTTTCTTAGCGTGTACACTAACTTTTACATGATATTAGTTTAACCCCAGCATTTCATTGTGAAACAGAGTAAAGCACAACAACAAAAACAAAAAAGAGAAACAAAAAAAAATAAAAAAAAAAACCCAGACATTTTCATCAATGGTGGCAGCCAAAATCTTGACGTTTAGCGTGCTTTCGGAATGAGTGGAGCAGGGCAGATTTATCGGCGAGGCCTCACTACCCGTCGATGCCGAAATACCCGAAAGGAGTTTCGACGAAAGAGAAGGAGAAGATTGAAGGGTCTGAATCCAAAGCTCTGTTTTCTGTTATTGGTATGACTTGTTCTGCTTGTGCTGGCTCTGTTGAGAAGGCGATTAAACGACTTCCCGGTATTCAAGAAGCTGTTGTTGATGTTTTGAATAATAGGGCTCAAGTTATCTTTTATCCTTCTTTTGTCAATGTGAGTGCTCAATTCATGTGTTATTATTGATTACGATTTTGTCATTTTTTTTTTGTATGTAAAATTATATATTATTGGTTGGTATGTGAAAATTTTGGTTGGTTTTTTTTTTTGGGTTTATATTCAATTGAAAAAAATAAACCCTATAATTTAAATATGATTTAATTTATCAATAGATGAATAGAACACAATTTAACTGGAGTACACAAATCTCAATTAAAATTTGATTTTGATTAGGGTTTTTGTTACAAGTGCAAAATGGAAATGGGTTATTCATATTTGATTCAGTTCAAGCCAATATATGGGTGATGAATTGTTTGATTTAATAACAGATAATATCGGGTTACATTCGAATCTAAATGCTATATTTATTTGATGGTAAAACTAAAATTAATGTTTTTGTCCTTGAAATATACAATTAATTGATTCTTGTGTTCTTGTTTATTTGTTGTCTTAATTTAGTTGGTTACAAATCCATTTTTCATTAGTTTTTCAAAAGTTTAGTACAATTTTATAGGAGGAACAAATTCGTGAAACAATTGAGGATGTTGGTTTTGAGGCTGCTTTGATCCAAGATGATATTAGTGAAGGAAGCACTCAAGTGTGCCGGGTACGAATAAAGGGAATGACTTGTACTACTTGTTCAAATTCAGTTGAAGCTAGTCTTCTTGGAGTTCAAGGTGTTAAAAAGGCTCAAGTTGCATTAGCTACCGAGGAGGCTGAAATTGAATATGATCCGAAGCTGATAAGTTACATTGAGCTACTGAAAGCTGTAGATGATAGCGGGTTTGAAGCTGAACTTATCAGCACTGGAGAAGATATTAGCAGGATGCAGCTCAAGGTTGATGGCATAAGCTTAAACGATTCGTGGGATACGATTAAAAGTTCACTTGAGGCACATCCTGGTGTGCAAACTGTAGAAATTGATCAGACTCTTCAGAAAATATCACTTTCTTACAAGCCTGATATGACAGGACCTAGGAACTTTATTGAAGTGATCGAGTCAGTTGGATTGGGGCATTTCAAGGCTATGATATATCCTGAAGAAGGTGGAAGAGATTCTCATAAACACGAGCAAGTTAAGGAGTATTATCGAGCATTCCTCTGGAGTCTTATCTTCACGATACCAGTGTTTCTGACCTCTATGGTCTTCATGTATATACCGGGTGTTAAACATGTGTTTGATACTAAAATAGTGAAGATGCTTACTGTTGGAGAAGTACTAAGGTGGGTTCTAGCAACTCCAGTTCAATTCATTATTGGTTGGAGATTTTACTGTGGATCGTACAAAGCGTTAAGGCATGGTTCTGCTAACATGGATGTGTTGATTGCCTTGGGAACAAATGCAGCATACTTTTATTCAGTCTATATTGTGCTTCGAGCTGCAACATCTAAAACCTTTGAGGGAACGGATTTCTTTGAGACAAGCTCTATGCTCATTTGCTTTGTTCTTCTAGGAAAGTATTTAGAGGTTTTGGCTAAGGGGAAAACATCTGCAGCCATTGCCAAGCTCATGGACTTGGCCCCTGAGACAGCAACACTATTGGCCCTCGACACAGATGGGAATGTCATAAATGAAAAGGAAATTGATAGCAGATTGATACAAAAGAATGATGTGCTGAAAGTTCTCCCTGGTGCAAAAGTAGCCTGTGATGGTTTTGTAATTTGGGGTCAAAGCTATGTGAACGAAAGTATGATAACAGGAGAATCTCGGCCAGTGCCCAAGAGGAAGGGGGATACAGTCATAGGTGGGACAGTGAATCAAAATGGAGTGTTACATATCAAGGCTACGCGAGTTGGGTCAGAAAGTGCACTTTCTCAAATTGTCCGTCTTGTTGAATCAGCAGTTCAGCACAGATGGCCAAAGCACCTGTGCAGAAGCTTGCTGATCGTATATCCAAATTTTTCGTTCCTTTGGTAAGTAATCATGTTGATTCTATACCACCTAACATGCGATTGTTCTTATATTTTTAATAGTCTGAACTCTGAAGTATGCTTAAATATTAGTAATGTAAAGTTTGCTATTTCAACTTACAGGTCATTTTTCTCTCAATTTCAACTTGGCTAGTATGGTTCTTAGCCGGAAAATTCAATACATATCCAAAATCATGGATACCCTCATCTATGGATAGCTTTCAGCTTGCATTACAGTTTGGCATTTCTGTGATGGTTATAGCCTGCCCTTGTGCTCTCGGATTAGCAACACCCACTGCGGTTATGGTTGGTACTGGAATTGGTGCATCTCAAGGTGTTCTCATAAAAGGTGGCCAAGCTTTGGAGTCTGCTCACAAGGTATATATATCATATACGAAGTATGCTGCAGTCTTTGCTCGAATACCACATTGCATTTAACATTGACAAGAAACTAATAAGGTAATCTGTCATCCTAACTATTTTGAAGGTAAATTGCATTGTGTTTGATAAGACCGGGACTCTCACAGAAGGCAAACCTCTAGTTGTGAGCACAAGGCTCTTGACTCAAATGGTACTTCGGGAGTTCTATGAACTGGTGGCTGCTGCTGAGGTAATTTATTCTTCACAATTCACAACCTTATTTATAAATTGATGTAGGAGATATGCAATATAAATTGATGTAGGAGATATGCAATAAATTGATGTAGGAGATATGCAATAGCATCACCCATATTAAATCTCTGAAGAACAAGTTTGATGTACTCTGATTGTGATAACTGCAAAGTGCCTCTCTGCTTATCTCTTGTGATTTGCATTCCTAAAATCTTCTTTGCTGGACCCAAGTCCTTCATGTCAAATTCCTTTGACAATTGATGCTTCAACTTTATAATATCATTCATATCAGAACCTGCTATTAACATATCATCAACATAAAGTAATAGGATGATATAACTGGATTGATATCTCTTGAAGTAGCAACAGTGGTCAGCGTTGCACTTCTGGAAATCTTCCTTGTGCATGAAGTTATCAAACTTTTTGTACCATTGTCTTGGGGCTTGTTTTAGCCCGTATACACTTTTCTTAAGTTTGCATACCATCTGCTCTTTCCCACTTTTTATAAAACCTTCTGGCTGGTGCATGTATATTTCTTCATCAAGATCTCCATGAAGAAATGCAGTCTTCACATCTAACTGCTCGAGATAAAGATCTTCAATTGCAACAATACTCAACACTGTTCTAATGGTATTGAGTTTCACAACAGGAGCGAATATCTCATTATAATCAACTCCCTCTTTCTGTTGAAAACCTTTGACAACTAGTTGAGCCTTATACCTCTTGGAATCATCGTGCTCCTTTTTTGCTCGATATATCCATTTGTTATGAAGGGCCTTCTTACCTATGGGTAACTCAGTTAGTTCCCATGTCTGGTTTGAAATCAGGGATTGCATTTCATCTTTCATTGCAAGCCCCCACTTGCTAGCATCTCTGGTCTGGGATGCTTCATAATAATCTTCTGGTTCCCCATCATCAGTTAATAACAAATAATTCATATATTTTCTATTAGGCACATGTGGTCGAGTACTCCTTCTTAGTGTAGGAGTTGGACAAGAAGGTTGTTGTATGTCATTTGATTGCGATGTACTGCCCTGTACAGTCTGTTCTTGTTGCGGAGTACTTATGATAGTGTACTCTTGCATCGTACTGTCTGGGACATAATCTTTATCAATGAATGTGGATTCTTTTTGATTTGTTTCATAACTCTCAATTTTATGCCTATCTTTGTACATGACTCTCTCATTGAAAATTACATCTCTTGAACGAATAATCTTTTTGCTTTCATCATCCCAAATGCGGTATCCGAACTCATCTTCGCCATAACCGATAAAAGTGCAAACTTTTGATTTAGGATCAAGCTTATTTCTGCCTTGATCACTAATGTGAACATAAGCTACACAACCAAATACCTTTAAGTGCGACAATTTGATCTCTTTGCCGCTCCATACCTCCTCTGGTAATTTGTACTCCAATGGGGTTGATGGTCCTCGATTGATCAAGTAAGCTGCTGTATTGACTGCTTCTGCCCAGAATTGTTTTGGTAGACCTGACTGTATACGAATGCTTCTGGCTCTTTCTGTCAATGTTCGGTTCATCCGCTCAGCTATGCCATTATGCTGAGGCGTACCTGGCACAGTTCTTTCCATCTTAATACCATGCTCGTAGCAAAACTTCTTGAATTTGGTGTCCTCATATTCTCCGCCATTGTAGGACCTGAATCTTTTGATCTTCAGACCTGTTTCATTTTCAACCCTAGCTTTCCATATCCTGAAAACTTCAAACACTTCGGACTTGTATTTTAGAAAGTAAACCCATACTTTCCTAGAGTGATCATCAATAAAAGTCACAAAGTACTGTTTTCCACCTATAGACTGGGTGGTTGTTGGTCCCCACACATCAGAATAAACAAGCTCCAATTTTTCTTTCATTGTAGTTCTTCCATATGTCTGAAAGCTTACCCTCTTCTGCTTTCCAAGTATGCATTCTTCACACATGTCTAAATTCACAGATTTTAGACTAGGGAGTTTTCCAATTGAATGCATGATCTTCATTCCTTTCTCACTCATGTGACCAAGTCTTTGGTGCCATAACTTGGAATTTTCATTCTCTGTTGCAACTGCAATCGAATAACACGCTCCAGCTGTCAAATAGAGAGTACCATTCTTTTTACCATGAGCAACTATCATTGCTCCCTTTGAAATCTTCCAATTATCACCTTGAAAGATTATAGTGTAACCTTCACGAGCCAACTGCCCAACTGAGATCAAGTTCTTTCTTAGGTCGGGAACATGTTTGACATCCTTCAGCTCCCAAGCTGACCCATTTAACTTAATTTTGACATTACCTTGACCAACAATATCACAAGGTTGGTCATCACCAAGGTATACCTGTCCAAGGTTTCTATGGACATATTTCTCAAAAAAGTTTTTATTAGAAGTAGCATGGAGCGATGCTCCAGAGTCTAATACCCAAGACTCTTCTTTGCTCTCCAATGAGCATATCAACACATCATCACCTTCTCCGGTAGAAGTGACATTTTCCTCTGCCTTCACTTCTTTGCCTTTTGGTGTTCCCTTGCACTGATTTTTATAGTGCCCAATCTTTCCACAATTCCAACACTCCACAGTCTTTGAGTTTTGGAAATTATTTGGATTCCTGGATTTTGACCTCCTATCTTTGGATTGTCCTCGATAGTTTGATCTTCCGCGTTCATTCCTTCTGATTAAATTTCTTCCTCTTGACTCTGTATGCAATACTGAAGAGGATGAAGATTCACCTGATTCTCTTCGTCGAATCTCCTCACTAAGAACCAGATCACAAACGTCATCAAACTTCAACTTGTTATTTCTCGATGAGCTACTCACAGCTGTGACTGTAGCATTCCAACTATCTGGCAGGGAAGATAAAAGTATTAACGCTAATACTTCATCATCAAATTTGATTTCAACAGAACTCAATTGGGTTGTGACAGAATTGAGTTCATTAAGGTGTTGAGCTACCGATCCACCTTCCGACATCCTCAAACTAAACAACCGCCTCATCAAATGAACTTTATTGGAGGCTGATGGCTTCTCATACATATTAGAGAGAGCTTTCATGAGACCTGCCGTTGTGGTTTCCTTTGCAATGTTAAACGCCACATTGCGTGATAACGTCAATCAAATAACTCCGAGTGCTTGTCTATCTAAAAGCTTCCATTCTGCTTCTTGCATGCCATCTAGCTTTTTCTCTTCCAGAGGTTGATAGAGTTTTTTCTGGTATAAATAATCTTCAATCTGCATTTTCCAAAATCCGAAATCTTTACCATCGAATTTTTCAAGTTTAACTTCTCCTTTGTCTGCAGCCATTTCTCCCACTCAAATTTGACTTTTTCTTTTAGGATCGTTTTTATTTTTATCGTAATGTGGACTAATTGTCAACCAAGCTCTTGATACCAATTGTTAAGAAAATAATGCAAATTTTCTATTTAATCAAATTTGAGGGAGAAATAAATTACATAAACAAAATGTCTATTTATACCAAAGTGCAAAAAACACAACCCCTCTTTTCTCTGAGTTATTTTTCTTCTCTCAGATTTTCTCTTGAAATTATTACATACAAATGAAGAAAATGCTCAATTTATAGTTTTCCTAAAACAACCTAAGCCATTTAAAATTTAGCCTGCAATATTTATTACCATTAGTTATTTTTCTCTATATTTGGAAACACCTTTAGTTTTCAATGGTAATGCATGGTTATTTAATAACCATTTATTTTTTTTTCTTTATGTTTCTTAATTATCTGCCAACACATAGTCTGAAACCAAGAGATTCTTGTTGGTAACAAGAGCTTGATGTTGGACCAAGGAATTGCCATCGCCATCGAGGCAGAGGAATTACTTGCTGAAGCAGAGGATTTGGCTCAAACTGGTATTTTAGTATCGATTGGAGGTACTATGGCAGGGATTATAGCCATTTCTGATACACTGAAACCGAGTGCACGTGATGTCATATCTATTCTCAAGTCTATGAATATCAAAAGCATTGTGGTCACTGGTGACAACAAGGGCACTGCAAACTCCATTGCCAAACAAGTTGGAATAGAGACTGTTATTGCTGAAGCAAAACCTGAACAAAAATCAGAGAAAGTAAAGGAATTACAGGTAATAATATATTGTTATATACTTAGTATTCCAATGTTACAATTACTTATACATAAGTATCTCATTTACTAAGAACAAATGCAGGCAGAAGGTTATATAGTGGCTATGGTCGGAGATGGAATCAATGATTCACCGGCATTAGTAGCTGCTGATGTAGGAATGGCAATCGGTGCAGGGACAGACATAGCAATTGAAGCAGCAGATATTGTTCTCATGAAGAGCAATTTAGAGGATGTCATAACTGCCATTGATCTTTCTAGGAAAACTTTCTCCAGGATACGGTTGAACTATGTATGGGCATTGGGTTACGATGTGCTTGGGATCCCTATTGCTGCCGGGGCCTTGTACCCTTCACTGAGGTTCCGGTTACCACCATGGATTGCTGGAGCTGCAATGGCCGCGTCATCAGTCAGTGTTGTTTGTTGGTCTCTCTTGTTGAAGAACTACAAAAGACCAAAGAAGTTAGACACTCTTGAAGTCAGGGAAATAAGGGTTGAATGATATGATAAATATATACAGGGTTGTGAATCTGTCAAAAATGTGTACATATTATAAATTGTGCAGCTGAGTTATGATTTGTGTTCATGCAAAAATGTATATATGTTTTGTGATGGAAATTTTTGTGCTACACTAATTTGCATTGGTTGCTGATGAGAATTTTGTGGTACATTAATTATTTTATGCTTTCTCTGTTAATTAATAATCTCACTCGCATAATCTCATAAGTACCAAGCACAAGATATAAAAAATTGGGCGTAATACTTATTTTACAAGCCGTCACACAATATATATGCAAAATTCTCCACTATACACTACTTTTCAACATTCCACCAACATGAAGATCCACTTTAAGTGATTGGAGTTACATAATTATAGAAACATTTTTAAACCTTATGCGTATACTCTTGAAATTTTCTAATACTAGCATCTTATATTAATTTGTATATATAATCAGTATAAAAACTCATTATAAAGGAATGATTTTACTTAAAGTATAGTCCAATATAATGATTTTACATTAAGTATTTATATTAGTTACTGTCTTACATAGTAAATTAATCCAAAAAATAAATGAAATTGGCATCTACATTAGATAGGAGAATTATTTCACTCACGTATGGTTATCTATGCTCATCAAATTATATTAACTAGCCTTGGGTCAGTGCAATGCATGGAATTGTAGAAAGTTAATCGGGTTACAAACTTATAATTAATTTATTTTCAATTACTCGTAGTATATTTTCTTAAACTAACAAGCGTTAACATGCAACTAACGGCTATTGTACTTGGCGTAAAGTTGGCGTCCAAAATCCAAGTAAACGGAGTTGTGGTGAACTGTCGATTTGCTTAAACTAAGGGACACGTTTTTGCATGTTATTTACAATTCATGCCATCAGATTAACGAATTTCGCAAATCTGAGGCATGAACTTGTATTTTTCTTATGAGAAAAAGTAAAGAATTAGGGAGAGGAAAGTTGAACATTGATCAAAATAACGAGATATATTCATTAAAACTATTGAATATGGAGAATACGATTAAAACATCTTTCAGATCAATACATAGATTAAATCAACAATAAAATTATACATTAAAAAAAAATAAAGAAGGAGATGGCACTTGGTGGCGTTGGTGCATTACCGCTCAGGCGCTCATGGTTTGAGTTTTATATAAGTTTAAGGTTTTAATTTTATATAAGTTTATAGTTTTATTGAATTGAAATTAATTTTATTTAATATAAATTTTTGTTAAGCGAAGAAAAAAAATAAGACTTTATAAAAGAGTATTATATTTTTCAAGTAAAATAGAATTTTGAAGGAGACTTCACCTATTAATCCAAGCAATTATAGTCCAACAAGTAAATAATAAATTAGTGGAGCAACTGAAAACGCCTTTTTTTTTTTTTTTTGACGAGAACAAATATTGTCTAATTAGACTTCTTAGTGGAGTAGTGAAGAAATTACACAAGTTTTAGTAAAAAGTGCATTCTGACTATGAAATGCATGAGTAATAAAAAGAGTATTCCGTATAGGAGGGTTTTTTTTTTTATTTTTTTTTAACAGAGGTATATATGATTTTAACTTCAACCAAAAATGGTCAGACTTGAAAGTAAGTGCAACTAATACATACGTACATATAACATATTACTTCATCTTGATAGGCTAGCTAATTAACAATAGATTTGAATCACCTCTATGATTTATTTTTAGCATAACTTCATCAAAGGTGGAAACAATGAAAAAATTGTTTAGAAGATATTTGTAATTGGTGTAGAGATACTCCGTAGTATTCTCTAGGGGTGGAGGCATGAAGCATGCTGCATGCATATCATGATGAATCTAATAACCCTATTTATTTCATTCTCAATCCTTTCAATACTTGACTTTTGACCTAATTTTAGTACTAAAATACTTCTCTAGTTCTTTATAGTACTTTGGCATCACATGATTATTTATTACATTTGTCAAAGTGTAAAACCAACGACTAATATATTTGATTATCAATAAATAAAAATTATAAAGAATCGATATATTGAAAGTACACAAAAAAAAAAAAAAAAAAAATCCCACCTAGCTATAAATTAAAAAAGGTAGTTAAATTAGAGAATGAGCATAATAGTCAAACCATGTCAACTACTTATAAAGAGAGAAAGAAGTATAACTAATTTGTGATCTCAGTTTAGATTTTTATTACATCAACTTGTTGCGATTTATAAAAAAAAATAATAATAAATAAATGACGATATTAATTAAATCAAACAATATTTTTAATGATAATGAGTCAAACCTTTAATGAAAATCATACAAGATCAAATCAAATTAGAAATCAAAATAAATGGAAGCAGAATTTTAAAAATTCATATTAAAACATGCACTTTCAATTATTGAAATATAAAGTCTTACAAAACATGTGAAGAAGAAACAAAGTTGACAACCGAATATCTTGCTTTTTTCCCCCCAAACAATATCCAAGAGAAACATTTTAAAAATGGAAAATCCAGAAAAAATAATTCTGTGTGTTTTGAATCACTTAACTTTACCCAAAATCTCCTAATTTTGCTTAATTCAAAATGTATTTTATTAATTACTATCAACGTTTATTCACATAAATTGTACCGCCACCCATCCCATTATCATTTTATTTAGTATTATTTGTTACAATTATCAAATTTGTTTCAAATAAGTAAGAAAGTGGCTTATTATGATAATTCTACATCATTCTCTTTTTTTTTTTTTTTTTTTTTTGACAAAACATCATTCTCTTTTAATCTGTCACAATTAGTCAAAAGATAAGTTTTCTTTAATCATCATTTTAGATAAAAGGTATGTTTCGCTGTAAGCATATTAGATCCACCAATTTAAGATTTTTAGAATTGACAAACTTTACACTAATAACAGCTAAAGTGATTTAAGTGATGATATGAGTCATCTCAAAAATTTGACACACTAATTTAACCAATCACTAAAAATTTTCTATAATTTTAATGCAAGTATGTGCAACATAATACTTCTTTGAATGCGTTACTAATAGTGATCAACAAATAAATTTTGCATTACATTGTAGTTTATTATTAATTGTATGTTATGAGATATATGTCACTATGAGGTTGAAGGTAAGTTATACTTGCTACTCATGAAATGCATGATAAAGTGTCGATTAGTCGATATATGCATTATTGTGGAAGAAGTCATGAGAAATGAATTCATGATATTGATAGGGAATTAGCTAGAGATCCATTTATTCATTCCCTTTAAGTTAGTCCCTTAATTGTACGTCAAGCAAAATCGTGAAAATGATAAATACTTCCTCCGCCACGCATTATGTGCAACAAACCTTGTTGCACGTTTCCCAAGATAAAATTTGTTAATGTTGATTAACTAAATGAAAGGTGTGTGCTTAAGGTTAGGAGAGAGAGTTAATGGCCACCACTACACCACCTGCCAGCAGCAACATCCACCACCACCCCACTCGCCGTTACCACGTAACCACCACCACCCCACTCGTCGTTACCACGTAACCACCACCCCCTTACCTAGGCCTACCCCGTAACCACCACCAACACCACCATGATCCGAAACCCCACCATCCAAATCGCGGAACCCCATCACCTGAGCGAAATTGCGACAACCTGAAACCTCAGTAGCCAATTAATCGCGAAAACCCACCACCTGAGCGACGCAACATCGCGAACCCCACCATCCAGATCTGAAACCCCACCGACGCAACCAAGATCTGAAACCACCGCAACCAATCTCACCCAGTTCGCAACCACCACAAACCACCCTTTACACACTCTCTCACCACCGCAAACCCTAATCAATTTTCAGGATTTCAATTTCCAGAAGGATCGGCGACAATGTCATGGAGGAGGAGGCCGGTGACTCGATCGGCGGTGGATCTCGGCGCAACAGGGGTAGGTTTGGGCGACAGAGGCGACTTGGGGGGGGGGGGGGGTTTCACGAAGACATCAATGGAGGAGAGGTGCTCAGGGGGATTCGGGGTTGGGACTGGGTGGGTGGGTGGGCGATTTCGGCTTGTGTGGATCGAACCGTCGCTGTGAGAGAAGCGCGAGAAAAATGGTGGTGGCGGTGGCAGTGGCGGCTACGAGGCAGGTGAGAGAAAAGTTGGTGATAATGGTTGTGGAGGTGGTTGTGAAGGAGGAGAGAGATTGGGATGGGTTTAGATGATTGATTAATTAATTTTGGTTAATATGTTAATAACATATAATCTTAATCATTTAATATGTGTTAGTAAAGTTAACTAAGGGTACATTGGTCATTTTAAGTAAAAAAATTACTAAAAGGGGAAAGTTTTAGTTTGTTGCAGATAATGTGTAACATCCATTTTTAGAAAATGTTGCACATAATGCGTGGCGGAGGAAGTAAATATGTGGGATTCTTGGATCGTCATGCTAGCTAGTAACAACATTGTCTCGAAACTGAATTATTCAAAAATTAGAAAGCTTTCATAGCTAAATATATATATTTCTCGTATGATAGTTAGGCCCTGATCTTTTGTGTTACTGGAAAAAGTAGAGCAGGGATCAACAAAGTAGAGCAGAATAGATTTCAATAGAGCAGAGCAGCAGAGCCGAGTTTCCAACACACTGCATAGCACAGCAGCTCAAAGGAACAAAGTAGTACTGTAGCATATTGCGTTGCTGACTTTTATCAACCTTGTCATAAAAGAATTATCCCACTACGACAAGCATTAATCAAAACTTGCATAGTGCACACACTACCCATATATAACCTCCTTTTTTTTTCTTTTTTGGGAAACCACCCTATATTAAGTACTATAACATAGTTAAATTAATTACATGGTGGAGAGATTTATCATAATTATCCATTTCTTATTCTTAAAATAAAGATGTAAAGTACCTCATCCAAACTATAAAAGGAACTGTGTGTCAACTTTTTATACATCGAAATCAAATACCTAATTCAGCATTATATTACTTATTTTTACTTCCAATTTACTCTAAACTAATTAATGCGCACTCATCAATCCAGGCTAGATTTTCAAAAGTTATACCACTTTTTACATTTTACTTTATAAATACATAATAAGAATCATTTGCTTACAATTTACATCATTTTTCCATGTATTCTTCCAGCAAAGCAACATCAAATTAAAAACCCAACAACAATAACATTTTTTTTTTTTTTGAATAGCAACAACAATAACATTGCATAAAGGTCAATGCCTATGACAAGCGTGAAACTCTCAACGTTAGTTTGCATATGCAATGACAGTAGGAGTGATCTTTTATCCCCGAGAGCTCGGTACCCTTCAATGCCCAAGTATCCGAAAGGAGTTTCGACGTCGATGAGAGGAAATATGGAAGAAGGGTGTAAGAGTAGTGAATGGAAAGCTTTGTTTAGAGTAATGGGAATGACATGCTCAGCTTGTGCTGCTTCGGTTGAGAAGGCTATTAAACGACTTCCGGGGATTAAAGAGGCTATTGTTGATGTTTTGAATAATAAAGCTCAAGTCATTTTTTATCCAAACTTTGTTAATGTAAGTTCTTTCTGCCTTATCTTTCTATTTTTGTTATTCTCTCTGTTTCATAATATGGCATTGTTTCTTACCATTGTGTAAACTAAAACATTATTATATAGAACTTTGTTAGATTTTTCCAATTCATTGTTTCATGTACTATATATATGAATCGGATTTTATATATAGTATAATTTTTGTATATTTGCAAAAACAAATGTTATGTTTCTTGTGAAAAGGAGGGAGTATTACCAATGTTTTTTGTTTAAGATATCAATATGAAGTTAGTTTTTTTTTTTTTTTTTTTTTTTTTTTTTTTTTTTTTTTTTTAACAGGAATATGAAGTTAGTATATAGTTTTGTTTTTAATTCTTGACACTGTAAATGTGGTTGTTTAATCCCATTGCTTGATTTTTTACAAAAATATAATATGAAAATTAGCTTTCCTGGAATGATCTGTAAAGGGGGAAAGACCATTCTACAGTTCTCTAATTTTTTAAAATTTACTCCGTTAGTAAGAAAAAAGGACTAAGGACCTGTTCAATTCAGCTTAATTTCAGTTCAGTTCAGCTTCTAATTTCCTTCTCTCATAAAATATTCATTTCAGCTCTATTCAGTTCGGTTCAGTTCAACTCCAATTAGTTCAGTTCAGCTCAGTTCAGTTTAGCTCATTTCACTAAATGTGAACAGGCCCTAAGATGAAGAGAAAACAAGCTTTACATAATGGGTGGTCAACTTTAATTTGTTTAATAATTAACAATTTCTTAATAATAATAAGATATATATAGGTTTGATCTTAAAATATGCTTTACATGCAATAATTTTTCTCTTAGTATTGCTAATAATAACTGCTATAATTAAGTTTATTTATAATACGAGTACTTTATAGCTTAAAGGAGGTGATAGCTAGCCAACCTTATCAAGCAAGAATGTAAAAATTGTTATGAACTTATAAAGTATTTAGCTCTCCTCTTTAATTTCTATATTCAATACATTCATTATGCCATACCATACTAATATAAAATAAAATATACGTTCGCTCCCTAGTCATATTTATTACGGGAAACTAAAATAAAATCTAAATAAAATTTTAGTGTAAAATTCCTTTTCATAGCAACAAAAAAATGAAGACATTGATAACTACTGACTAGTGACTTGGTGAGTGACAAATACTAGTATATTGAATTAAAAAAAAGTATGTTAGTTGAAGCCTTGAAGGTACTCCATCTATGATCTATTCAATATACTACGTATTACCAAATTAGGGCATCAAACTATGTTACCAACTTACCACTTCTTTCCAAGAATCACACACAATCTATCTACCATATATACCATTCCCACTAACCGGCACTATGAATACACCATTGGACCCATCTTGGGCACCATCACTAGACCCATCAGGACCCACGGCCTTAGCCACTAGTCCCCCACTAGCATTGTTTTTGATCTTTTGGGAGTACTCAAAAGGTGCAAATGGCATGTTATTCCAAGCAATGCCTCTTATACTCTCTCCGTCCTTTTATTTTTGCCTCATGCTATTTTTGGGTCAAAATTTCATGAAATACCGTCAATCTATAAAAGATAATATAGTCATGAGTGATTTTGTTAGATTCTTTTCATTGTATATTTTATTAATATCACATTTTTATAATTTTTACGTGTATGAATATAATTCCTTCGTTTTTTTTTTTACTTGTATCACTTGGGTTTGCATAAAGTTTAAGGAGAGTAATATAATATTATAAGTGGATAAATAAATTATTATAGTAAAAGTAAAATGGGGACCATGAAAGAGAAGGTATGTGAGAGATGATATATATTTTTAATATATAAGTGGGGACCATGGAAGATAGAGAAATGATAAAATGATTTGAATGAGATTTAAAGTAAGAGAAAGAAATGATAAAATATAATATAAAGTTACCAAATATACAAGTGATGCATTAAAAAACATCCTTAAATAGAAAGTGATGCAAATAAAAAAACGAAGAGAGTAAAGATATAGACGTTTTAAGGGTCTGTTCATTTCAGCTTAATTTCAGTTCAGTTCAGCTCCAATCAGTTCCGTTCATCAGTTGTAATCAGTTCAGTTCAGCTCAATTCAGTAAATGTGAACAGGGACTAAGACGCATCTTGAAGACCGTGCACAGTTAAATGGGGCACAGAAATAGGAAGTGAGGGAGTAATATTGTACTCCCATTATTTCTTTTTATTTTGTCCATTTGGATTATTGACAAGATTCATAAAATGAGATAATCTTCTAAAATACACCCAATATATAAAATATAACATATTCATATTATGTTTTATTTATTGTCTCAACATATACTTTAATTTTCAAATTTCATAGTATTTAATTGTTATATTCTTTTTTTATTAATATGCAACTAAAGATTTCTATTGTCAAAATTGTATTGGCAAACATGTGCTGTTAATAATAAGAACACATCTAGAAATAGAGGGAGTAATAATTTATAGCCATCAAGGCGTTAACAATGAAGTATAACCTATAAAAAGTCCTCCATATGTAATCTATGACTTTAAGCTGCCTGATTTTTAAAATTTGTGTATGATTAAAGAAAAGGCTAGAAAATCCAAGTAGTTTACTTAGAAATTTGGATGCATAATTTTATATTGAGAGAACACAGAACCTGTAATGCCAATTGCATTATTCATTTATATATTTATAAGTGTTAACGACTACTTATCAAACTTATGTATGCTTAAAGAAAATTTTTGCAATAAAATTTCAGATTTTTTCATCTTTTCTGACCAATAAAAAGTGTCATCAATGTTTTATAGGAAGAACGAATCCTTGAAGCCATTGTGGATGCTGGCTTCGAGGCTGAACTGATTGCTGATGATAATATTAACGATGGAAGCAATCAAGTATGCCGGTTAAGGATTAGAGGAATGACATGCACTTCTTGTGCAAATGCCATCGAAACTAGTCTCCTAGGAGTTCGCGGTGTTAATAAGGCACAAGTTGCATTAGCTACTGAAGAAGCAGAGATTCACTATGATCCGAAGCTTGTTAGTTACAATGAGCTACTAGAAGCTGTAGAAGATAGCGGGTTTGAAGCTGTACTTATCGCTACAGGAGAAGATAGATGCAAGGTGCATCTAAAGGTCGATGGGATAAAAACAGAACATTCTTGGAGAATGATTGAGAATTCACTTGAAGCACTCCCCGGTGTTCAAAATATAGACATTGATCTAAAACTTCAGAAAATTTCTGTTTCTTACAAGTCTGAAAATACAGGACCAAGAGACTTTATTGAAGTGATCGAGTCAGCTAGCTCAGGGCATCTCAAGGCGATGATATATCCTGAAGAACATGGAAAAAATTCACATAAACAGGAAGAAATTAAGCAGTATTACAGATCATTGATGTGGAGTTTAATCTTTATGATACCAGTGTTTCTGACATCTATGGTATTCATGTATATTCCGGGTGTTGGAGAAGTATTTGACACCAAAGTTTTGAAGATGCTAACTATTGGTGAGGTAATAAGGTGGGTATTAGCAACCCCTATACAGTTCATTATAGGCCGAAGATTTTATATTGGTTCTTACAATGCATTGAGGCATGGTTCTGCTAATATGGATGTTTTGATTGCGTTGGGAACAAATGCAGCGTACTTCTACTCAGTCTACACAGTGGTTAGAGCTGCTACATCAGAAAAGTTTGAGGGAACAGATTTTTTTGAGACAAGTTCTATGCTTATTACCTTTGTACTTCTAGGGAAGTACCTAGAGATATTGGCGAAGGGAAAGACATCTGCAGCAATTGCCAAGCTAATGGACTTGGCCCCTGAGAGGGCGACATTGTTAACCCTTGATGCAGATGGAAAGATCCTGAAAGAAAAAGAAGTTGACAGCAGATTGATACAAAAGAATGATGTGCTTAAAGTCATTCCCGGGGAAAAGATAGCCTGTGACGGATTTGTAGTTTGGGGCCAAAGCTATGTCAATGAAAGCATGATAACAGGAGAATCGCGGCCAGTACCAAAGAGGAAGGGTGATCTGGTAATAGGAGGGACAGTGAATCAAAATGGGGCACTACATATAAAGGCAACACGCGTTGGATCAGAAAGTGCACTTTCTCAAATTGTACGACTGGTTGAATCAGCACAGATGAACAAAGCACCTGTGCAGAAGCTTGCTGATCATATTTCTAGATATTTTGTACCATTGGTTAGTAAACAACTAAGCATATAATTTCTTTTAAAGCTCGAACTATATTAAGATACTCCAACATTGTTAATTACTTACTGCTTTGATCCCCCAGGTTATCCTATTTGCAATTTCAACTTGGCTTGGATGGTTTTTAGCTGGAAAATTCAACAGTTACCCCGAATCATGGATACCACCATCAATGGACAGTTTTGAGCTTGCGCTACAATTTGGCATATCTGTCATGGTCATAGCCTGCCCGTGTGCTCTGGGTTTAGCAACACCAACTGCAGTTATGGTTGGTACTGGGATTGGTGCTTCTCAAAGTGTACTGATCAAAGGAGGCCAAGCTCTTGAAACTGCTCACAAGGTATGTTGAACTTTTTGTGTCTTGGATTCAATAAGCTTAAAATGGATGGACTATAGTTTAGGGAGACACCCTGGCAGTTATTAATACACTCCAACATTCTAATAAACTTCTGTAGGTTAATTGTATTGTGTTTGATAAGACTGGGACTCTTACAGAGGGCAAGCCAGTAGTTGTCAGCACGCGACTTCTGAGACAAATGGTGCTGCAGGACTTCTATAAACTGGTTGCTGCTGTAGAGGTAGTTCATTTTTCTGCAAACTTGCTGATTCTCAAAATTTCAAAAATACCTATTTTTCTGTTGACAAACCCCAATGTTCTGCTCTATACTTCTGATAGTCCTTTGATGTTAGACTTATTTCAGAACAGATGCAGAGTGTTTTAGTCATTGTTTCTAGAATTGGCCGAGTTATAAAGATGAATGTTCTAGCTCAATACTTGTAATACTCAAATCACGCTTCCTTTTTCTTGACATAATATTAGGGAATGATTTTCAGGTCAATAGTGAGCACCCATTAGCAAAAGCCATCGTCGAGTATGCCAAGAAGTTTAGTGAAGACAAAGAACACCAAACTTGGGCAGAAGCAAGGGAATTCATGGCCATTAGTGGTCATGGTGTCAAGGCCATAGTCAACGATAAGGAGATTCTTATCGGAAATAAGAGCTTGATGTTAAACCAAGGAATCAACATCCCAGCAGAGGCTGAGAAATTGCTTTCAGAAGCCGAAGGTAAGGCAGAAACAGGCATTCTGGTATCCATTAGTCATGAAGTTGCAGGAGTAATAGCAATTTCTGATCCTCTGAAGCCGAGTGCACCTGAAGTCATATCTATTCTTAAGTCCATGAACGTTGAGAGCATTATGGTGACTGGTGACAACAAGGGGACAGCCAACTCCATTGCCGGACAAGTTGGAATTGAGACCGTGATTGCTGAAGCTAAACCTGAGCAAAAAGCAGAGAAAATAAAGGAATTACAGGTCAGATTTTGATTACTCTTCTCTACCCTTTGAGAGAAACTAACAAGCATAATTTAGAAGTTATGGACATATATATGTAGCTCCTCACCTCACTGATGAAGTGATAATAAACACAGGCAGAAGGTTATGTAGTGGCAATGGTTGGAGACGGTATTAATGATTCACCAGCATTAGTAGCTGCTGATGTCGGAATGGCAATTGGTGCAGGAACAGACATAGCCATAGAAGCAGCAGATATTGTTCTGATGAGGAGCAACTTAGAGGATGTCATAACTGCCATCGACCTCTCAAGGAAAACTTTCTCTAGGATAAGATGGAATTATATATGGGCTTTGGGTTACAATATACTTGGTATCCCAATTGCTGCAGGAGCTTTGTTCCCCTCATTGAGATTTCGTTTACCACCATGGATTGCAGGAGCGGCTATGGCTGCTTCATCGGTCAGCGTTGTTTGTTGGTCACTCTTGCTGAAGAATTACAAAAAACCAAAGATATTGGACACCCTTCAAGTTAAGGAAATAAGGGTAGAGTGAAAACGCTACTTAGCTAGTACATGATAAGATGAGCAATCGTGTTAGCTACAATAATTTTGTACATATGTACTGGTAAGCTATCAATAAGCTCAAGGTCTGCTTATACTTGGCTAAATCATGAAATTGTAAATAGGTTCGTAAAGTGGCAAGAAAAGTGCTCCAATTATTTCCCTTCCATGTTGTACACGAAAACATTTGTTCAAGGACCAACTCAACCAAAATGTTAAGGTGATGGTTGAGGCCCAAGAATATATTTTATACTCTATCAATGTTGGTTTAGATCGAAAAACCAACTCTGAACCTTATGGGCGGGAGGGGAGGCTGGAGCAGCAAACAATAAGCTCAATCTGTTGTAGGATCAGGTCAATTTCTTTATAAATCACATAGTAGTATATGTTTACTCTATGCTAGTGTATAAATTTCTCTTGGCATTTGTTGGTGAGTAATTCAGAATGTAAGAAACATAATGTATAGTTATATCTTTCAGCAGCAAACACGCATATTTTTTTTTTTTTTTTTTTTGACAATGAGTACTAATAAAGAAATACATAAAAAGAAAGCAACCAACAACTACACTACACAAACCCAAAAAGACACTTGCGAGCAAACTTTATTCGAGTTAAGTTGGAGTACTTGAAGTCCACACTAGGCCCACGACCACGCTTTGCACCCACACGAACCACTTGACATCCTGCATGTGATATAGGTCGCCCCATCAAAGAACTAATTTTCCTTAAACGAGGGTGATAAATAGATTGACGACGATGAAGTGGTTGCCCCGTGTAGGGAATAATTTCAAGCCTTTAAAATCCCACTAGCTTGAACCCCGCTGTGATCATACACTAAAGTACGGTAGCATCCAAAAGGGAAGAAGATAGAGCAAAAGAGTCGCCAACAAGTTTTTAAGGAACTTGTAAACCGTTCACGAGGTGAAGGTTACACCCCTTAACGATCCAAGAGATCGTCAACTCCATAAGGTCATGAACCAAATAAGGGTTCGGGGATGAAGGTACAAATCCAACCTAAAAGAGATTGAACCTGCCCTAATAATAGGCCTCTACTTTATTCTGATCGTATTCATGTGCGCTTTCTAATTAACATACAATCAATAGGATTAACCCTAAACCTGTTTAATCTATGTTGGTTGAATTTAATGCACAAACAAATCTATTATTGGCGATCACTTGAATTATAATCACATTAACCCTAAACAAGATTATTAATTATCTTATCAAGCGTGATTGCAAATATCAATTCCCTTTAAACATACATAAAAGGTGATCAAGCAATAACAATATACAATAATATGCATATCAAGAAACATAATAAATAATCATCATCAATCATAATCATAAATGTTAGAAAGAACATAGGAAGCATCATACTTTTAATCATACTTGATATTAAAATACCCTAGACATGATACTAGGAATCATAACAATAAACACATGATGTCTACATCATAAAAACAATTAAAATACTTACTTGGATGCCTCGTACCTCTTTCTAATTACAAAATACACACGTTAGTAACTTCAAGGAAAATAATAATCAAAACAAGTAAATTAAATAATTGAAATAGAGATTTGGGACCAAACCCTCAGAAATTAAAACCTTTCACGTCTAGGGCGAAGGCAACTTCGAATATTGCTAGGTGTATCAAGATCTTGTGAATGCGGAATTTTGTATGAAAAAGCAAGAAAGAAAGAATGCTAAAAGATTAATGTTATTGAGAATTGATGAAAGAAAGATGATGAATAAAGAGAATTGGAGAATGTTGATGATAGATTGATTGTAGATGAAGAAAATTGATAATTGGTGATTGGTGAATGAAAACGGAATTTTCTGATACAATATTTATAGAGAAAATCGACCAAAAAAGATAATTTATCAAAACAGAGCTTGAAGATCACAGAAACAACTTGGCGCCGGCCTGGCTCATTGGCGCCAGGACCAGTGGCTAGTGCCAGACGCCAATGGCTGGCGTCTGGCGTCAATCCTGGTTCCAGGCGCCAAGGCCTGGGGTTGGACGCCAAACCGGCTTTTAACACATTTTCGAAACTATGATAATTTTACCGTACTAGAAGATAAAATAATATAATTTCAGTCGAAAATGTTATTTGATCTAATTAAAACTCTAAAGAATCCTAATTGAATTAAGAATGATAAGACCTTCTAGAATGTTCTAGAAGACCAAAACCATTCCTAATTATATTAGGAATGATAAATCATATTAGGCCCTCCCCTAGATCATTGGGCCGTATTTAAAACTCAAACCGGGCCCAGTTTAGTAAATTGGCCATAACTTCCTCACTATTCATTGGAATTGGGCTTATAATATATCGTTGAAAAGGTCTTTGCAAGCCCCATCCAACTACACCATTATTGGACCCATATCATGGACCAACCAAACTGGATTGGCTATTTTCTTAAAATAAAGTTTTCAAAAACAGAGAGAAGAGAAAAGAAAAGAAATAAAACTTTCCGCAACACTAAACCTTTTTACACTTTCGTTTCATTCGATTATGATTCCACGTGAAAGGCACTCATCACTGGGTTTGGTTTTGGGGAGACACAAATGGGTGTCTACACCCCAAAACCTTGGCGCTGAAATGCAAAGTGGAGAACTGATAACTTGGAACACAAACTTTTCCCACAAACTCCTGCGAATTCATCTCTCCCATCTGACTATCAGAATTAGAAAAGGTAGTCATGCACTCCGAATTGTTGTGCATCACAGGAGCACCTGTGGACTGCTGCAAAGTGAGAACCGGCTGAGACTCTAGAATGGGCACCGTCTGCCGATCATCATCACATGAAACCTTTTGTGAAGTAACTGTAGGGAACATCGCTACACTGGACTTCACATTGTGGGAGACCTCTGTCGTAATAGAGGTGATCATCTCCTCCTGATAAGACTTCAAAACCGGAGCATACGTGGACTGCGAAATAGGAGCTTTCAGGAACTCTAAAGTGGACACTGCCTGTTGCTCCAATCCACTAGGGGACTTAGCTGAAGTGGAAATAGAGAACTCTGCTTCCCTAGAAGTTACATCTTGGGGGACCTCGGTCTGGATAGAAGTTTTACTGGGATGAACCCGAATTGACATTAACGTCATAGACTTAGAATGGTAGAACTGAATGACCTTGCCTTGCATAACTTGCTGTAAATTTGAAGGAGAAAGCCGAAGGGATGAACTCGAACCATGTCGAGAAACAAACTCATGCATACAAGGGACTTCAACCCGAGGAGAAGGTGGTAAAGACTCACGATCCATATCATTACCAACTGAATCTGATTGGAAATCACATTCCATATCAGCACTCTCTAAAACTGGTGATGGGAAATTACATTCTTTATTTGTCATCACTAAACGAACTAGGCAATAATACTGGCTCTGAAACAGCTGGACTTAACCCACTACACTAAACCCCAGCAGTTTGAACCACTTCCGCAGAACAACAATCCTTGTTTACCTCACAACCAACTACATAGTCACTAGGAACTTGAAAAGTCGACTCAACTTGGGTAACAGACTTGACCAACTTACCCCTTTGTTTTTTATCGACTAAAGACACATCTTGTAACAAACCTTCAACACAATGCAACTTTGTTAACACGTCTGTATTATTAGGATCACTTTTAGTAGCCTTAACCAGATCCTTTCTAGCGGAACGAAGCTTGCCCAATTCTTGATACGCAGAAGCCCTCCTATAAAGAGCCTTTATATGATCGGAATCAAGCCCTAACACAAAGGAACAAAGCTTAACAACAGCAGAATAATCAAGAAGCTTCAAAGCACAAGCCGCAAGATTAAGATGCAGAGCAAAAGCCAAAGATCGAAACGAAGCAAAAGCTTCCATAAAACACGGCATAGTAAAACATAACAATTTACTAGCCAACTCATACTTGGAAAAGGCAAGTTTAAACTTGTCAGCCTTGAACAAGGAGTTCCCTTGCTCCTTGAACTCCGAGGAACGAACTACGACGTCACTGGGTTTATCCATAGAGGAAAGGAAGTGGATGATACTTTCATCATTAAAATCATCTGGAAGATGAAAAGAAATGAAAGCAGGAAATAACTCCATAATCAAAACTAGAAACAGAGTAAGAGTAGGATATGTACCTAGAAGAACAAATAACAACCAAAGAAAAAAGAGAATTCCACCAAACACACCATCTCACCAGCTACTACAAAGCAAAAGAGACAACACCTTTATTCTTTCAAACGTAAAATATGATTATAGAGCAAAGAACTGATGCCAATTACTCCAAAACTCTAAAACAAAACCAATAGAGATCACACCTTTGAAGGAGAAAAAAACACAAAAGGAAAACAAAATATAAAACCAGAACAACCACAACTAAACTCCTAAAGAAAGTTGCAAGCAGAGAAGGAAAATAAAAGGCATAAAAGGACAAAGAAAGCTAAACCAAAGGAAACGAAAGTAAACGAAAAAGAAAAGAGCAGTAAACAACGGGAAAGGGAACGAAACACCTAGAAACAGAGGATACAACGTTGCTCCGAACGATCACCCTTCTCGTCAGCCGTACTTTGAAAGAGGCGAAGAGAAACAACCAAACAAAGAAACTATAGACAGGCTACTAGCCTCGCCGGCGACAGCTAGGAGAAGGAGCGCCTATCGCCGGCGAGCAAACAGAGAAAGAGACGAGGCGGTGGACGTAGCGGTGGTGAGGCGGTGAGGGTTTTGTAGAGAGAGAAAGTATCCTTGTAACGCCCCGACTTTTATTCTGAATCATGTAATTTATACTCTTCAAAGTTCACCCCCAAAAGTAATTTAGGGGTACATAAACCTAATAAATCGATACCTCTCACTATTCAAACTAGGGATAAAGATTAGGGAATCACCACCTCGAAAGAGCTCATAGTAAATTTTAAAATTCAGGTGACCAAAAACACTTTGACATTTTTCACCAAAAGTACCTATCAGAGCTCATTAATTTTTTCGATCTTTGAGGATTTGAAACGCCAGTAAAAAACTTTGATGTGTTCATTAAATTATTAAATGTGGAAGGGCGTTGATGTTCAAAGCAAATTTGATTATATTAATGACTGTAATTTTTATTTTCATTTCTATTTTGATGTACGAGAACAAAATAGAGAAAACGGAATTTTTTTAATAGTCAAACATATGAATGTGACAAGATTATCTTCATAATTGATCAATTTTTTGTCAAAAAAAAAAAATTGAGTACATTTGTCAAAAAAAAAATACTAATTGATTCTCACTTCGCATTTGTGGCTCTCGGAACAAAAAAAAAATAAAAAAATAAAAAAAAATCCAACCTCCATGATACTTGACAAGTCAACAGTACAACACATTCGCTAATTGTTTGACTTCCGATAACTATCACTCTTCACTAGCATAACTAGAATTTCTAAAGTTAGAACGTTCCGGTTATACAGAAAAATCTTCGCATCGTACTTATAGGTTCGAAAAATCTCATATCCGTACGGATTGCAATCTCCTAAAAAGAAAGACAGAACCCTAAACGTGTCACAAAGCAATTTGACGAATTGTCGACACTCAATCGAAGGCTCTCCACCGCCGCTGACAATTATGCAAGGGTACAAAAGGTGGAATTGGGTGGATATAGATTTTAGGAAAAATTGTCAAAAATAATGCAAACTTTGTGCGGTCCGCTAAAAACAAGTCAAACTTTTAATTATTTCTAAATAATACAAACATTGAGGGATATTCGCTTTAAACAAGTTATTTTACCTACAACTTATTTAGCCGGTTAATTTTTTTATTTATCTTATAAAGTTGTTTAATAGTTTTAAAAATATAATACAATGTCACATGCTATATAACCTATTCACGAGGTAACTAATCGGTTTTAACTTGTTTAAAGCGGATAACCTCAAAGTTTGTATTATTAAAAAATAATTAAAGTTTAATTTGTTTTTGGCGGATTACTCAAAGTTTGTATTATTTTTTACTATTTTCCCTAGATTTTAAAGTATTGCCAACTTTTCAACTATCAAAATGAATAGAGGGGAACAAGACCTTGTTCTACTCTAATAATGCTTGAAAAGTTGATCTTATGCACATAATCAAATATAATAACATCTTCTGAAACCTCTGCATCTGTGGCAACAGATAACAGCTCAATTCATCTACCTTTTAGTCAGTTTAGGCATGCATAAATAAAGATTGTTTTGCGCATGCTTATTGTTAAATTCATAATAGACATCCATAATTGATCTACGGAGCATGAGGTATTTACGAGACTGAGATTGAAAGGTAGTAACCAAAATTTAAACTAGAACACCTATAGATACTTGATTGTGTCTCCCAAAAACCAAACCCAGTGATGAATACCTTTCCCGTCATTGATTATCGAACGATGTGGAGGGTCCATTTATATTTCTAAAGTCATTAGGATTTGTTTAAGTTTTACGTAATTTGTTAATTCACAAATCAGTTTTACGTAATTTGTTAATTATCCTATTTTTGAAAAGAAAATTGATGAATAAAAAGTTATACCGCAAGTGCACGGTATTGACTGAGACTTAGCAAATACGGGTCGAATCCCTATTATATAAACTATTTCGATAAACAAAGAGTGATTTGATGATCAATTAACTAAAGTATGACAATAATAAAAATAAGGTTGTTATCTGATAAATTAAAGTCTAGGGCATAGATTTGGTCCTAAAAGTGCAAACAATCCATTAATAAACAAACTAGGTCGAATAGTTAAAGCACTGTTAATCCTATTGTCGAGAATTAACGCTTTTGAATTAATATATGTAGTTCGGTCGCTAAATAATCAACTCATGATATTAGCCAATTACATAAATCAAACAATAAAGCACAAATCAATTGGAACTAATCAAACTCTAATTCATAAATAAATAAGTATAAATAAAAGGTATAAACATAATTTCCCTCACTTAGATCTAGAAAACGGCTACTCACTCATAATTGAAATAAACAAAACAAAATAGATAAATAAACTATAATTCATAATTAATAAAATAAAGAACGAAAGATTGAATGAAATACCTCAATGATTGAATTACTTACTGAAGAGCAAAATCTAGGGTCTAACAATGGAGGAAGAAAAACTCAAAAGAACGTTCAAGCATAAAATAAAGTATAAGAGACCAAATAAAATCCTCTTAAGTATTTATATTAAAGCCTAATTCTAAGCTAATTAAAATAGAAATAAATACATAAGCTAAAATATTATTGGATGATAAGCAATGACGTGGAACGTGAGAATTCAAGGTTGCTCGTGGCCCATCACCACTCGACCAAACCCGCGGCTGCAGGGTGGTTCTCGTGCCCTGTCAGCAGCGACAGCAGCCTTTGAGTGGTCGCAGGATAGACCCACAGCAAGATCCCGCGGGTGGCTGAATGCATCAATTGGATTTAAACCTTTATAACTTCTGTTCTAGGAAGCTTCTCGATGCGTGTGACCTATCATTGGAAAGCTCTTAATTTTAGTTTCCAACGCAACTTGAATCACTTCAATCCGATCTGTAGAACTCGAGTTATGATCAAAACAGTGAGCAAAGGTCATTTTTGATACCTTGCAAGCCTTCGTTTTTCTCTGTTTCTAACTCAAATTCGTTTCCGAAAGGTCCATAGCGACTCTTGTGGATGATATATTCATTTCCCATGCATAAAATCCTTAAAGCCAACATCCACAAGCATAAATCCCTCGATCAATGAACTCGTCTATCGATTTCCATTCAAATATCATTCAAATCATCTTCAAACACTTCGAAAATATCCAAATGACTATGAAATTGATCACCTGAAACATTAAGAAATACACAAACGAAGCCTAATAGAGCGATAAATGATGACTTATGTAAATATACAAAACAACCCAAAAGACTAAGAAAAAGATATAAAAACTAACATAAATGTAAAAACCCTATATAATTATGATTAAAAAATTTATTTCGAATAAAACAAGTGTTTTAAATATATTTTATACGGATTTAATAAGAATAATTACGAATATTCGACTAACCCAATTTGATTGTAGGTCGGATTCCGCACGAACCCTATCTTCCAAAAATATATCGTTGGGCATTGTTCGGAGATAGAATCATCACGACGCGATACCCCCATCGCACTGGATAACCCTATCGCGCCGCGATGACGCCTGTTTTACTCCGCGTCGGATTTGGATTAAATCCTTATCTTTTCTGTTGGTTTTTCTTTATAAATAGAGTCGATATTCCCCGTTTTCCAAATAACCAACAACCATCTAATTCTCTCCTGGTCAATAGTGAGCACCCATTAGCAAAAGCCATCATCGAGTATGCCAAGAAGTTTAGTGAAGACAAAGAACACCAAACTTGGGCAGAAGCAAGGGAATTCATGGCCATTAGTGGTCATGGTGTTAAGGCCATAGTCAATAACAAAGACATTCTTATCGAAAATAAGAGCTTGATGTTAAACCAAGGAATCACCATCCCAGTAGAGGCAGAGAAGTTGCTTTCAAAAGCCGAAGGTAAGGCTGAAACATGCATACTGGTATCCATTAGTCATGAAGTTAGCAATTTCTGATCCTCTGAAGCCGAGTGCACCTGAAGTCATATCTATTCTTAAGTCCATGAATGTTGAGAGCATTATAGTGACTGGTGACAACAAGGGGACGGCCAACTCCATTGTCGAACAAGTTGGAATTGAGACCGTGATAGCTGAAGCTAAACCTGAGTAGAAAGCAGAGAAAATAAAGGAATTACAGGTCAGATTTTGATTACTCTTCTTTCCTCTATTCAAAAGAGACTAACAAGCATAATTTAGAAGTATTACCTTCATTTAATCCTTTGATATTTGCGATATACTTTGATATTTGCGATATAGTACTTCACTGATAATAAACACGTGTTGAAGGTTATGTAGTGGAAATGGTTAGTTGGAGACGGTATTAATGATTCACCAGCATTAGTAGCTGCTGATGTCGGAGTGGCAATTTGTCAAGAATGTGAATCCTAGGTGTTTTTATTAAGAGTAAGGAGTATATATATACAACTTATGATAGGGCCTAAACGTAAGCCCGATAGCTAACTAATTACAAAGGTTATTTGGTTTAACCC